AGTTATGCTTACTTTTGTTTTTACAAGATAAAAAATATAAAGAATATTCTGTCACCATTTTATTTGAATACAATATACTCCATTTATTGATAACGACAAAAATCGTTTACATTCAGTTGATGATCTGATCCACAATAGGCAACAAGAATTAAATCTTTAAAGTCATTTTCCTGTCTAAGTATTTGACACAGATGACCACTAATGTACGAATTCCGTCATCACATCTAGGGAAGACACCTAAAACAGAAACGCATCAAATAATGGTTCAAATAATAATTATTGTTAACTTTTTATACATTGGGACTTGGATGGAGAGTTGTCTCATTGGCACTCATACCACATCTTCTTATTCATACTTCTTTTCTCTGAAACTGAGTAGAAAAATACCATTGAAATAAATTACCTAAATGCATTCAACACTTGTTTCTATATTTCGAAACACATTCAAATTGTACATTTACAAATGGAATTAAGTTACTATTGTCAGTACTTGGAAAAAAGATCGATACAACATATGTCCATAGACAATGTGCATCAATAAATTGCAGTTAATCTTACTTAGAAAAAGAGCAGTCAGGAACACACTAGTTGGTATTCGATTTGCTAATGAACTTTCAATTGTTTTTGTAATTGCAATGTATAAGAAGAATCTTAAAATGGTGAATCTTTTGCTGTTTGGTTTTTTGCTTTTGCTTCGTTGTTTTTATTGGTAAACATTCTAGATGTCCCGTATTCTCTATTATTGTTAATAATTAATAATTAAATGAATAATATTGGTGATGAATTTCATCTGATAGTTCTATGTACTTATAAAGATATTAATGTTAATTTACGTGAGCTACTACACTATGAATCCTAATTATAACAAAATGAAGAAAATGTACAACGGTATAAACGACTTTCTGTATTTATCAAATACTTTGCCCGTAAGCTTTCAAACGTTGTTGTTGTTGCTACATGTATGTATATAATTGACACCACATATTTAATTTGTCATGTTAATGTAATGCTGTTGATATTACCTCTATTACACATGATGTATCTTTGTCTGAGTGTTCCAATAAAATCTTGAAAACTTGAAAACTTGAAAAATAATAAGCTATAATAAACTATATATATATCAAGTAAGAATCATAGAAAAAAGCAGCCTTTATATCTGTGTGCTTAATTTAATGTTTGTTCAAACAACGTGAATCATATCTTTATTTTTAACAATTCATTACCTTTTTACAGGGATTTGGTAACAGTGGTTTTCAGTCGTTTCCCAAGTTTCCAATGTTTATTTGTGCAATCTGGACATGGACGCAAGCCATTTATTCCAGCATCTACATGGACATGTACATTAACATCAACAGCTGGTCTGTTATGCTTTTTACAACATGGGCGCCCTTTATGGAAATGGCATGAAGGACGATGCCTATGATATTCTATACTTGATGAATCTCCTTGCCAGGAAGAACTTCCTCCACGTTTTCCTGAATTTGATCCAGATGACAAATTACCTGACTTTTGTTTAGATGATTTACCGTCCGACTTCAGCTTGGGTGATCTGTCTCCTGACTTTGGTTTTGTAGATTTACCATCTGACTTGGGCTTGGATAACCTGCTGCCTGACCTTGGATTAGATGATTGGCTGTCTGATTTTGGTTTCGGTGATCTGTCGCCTGAATTTGTTTTAGATAATTGAGTGCCCGACTTCGGTTTGGAAGATTTATTGCCCTTTTCTTTTGATTTTTGTTGTGAATTTGATGTGGACTTATGACCATTAGATGCAGGAGATGTTGGTTTAATTGGCCTTCCACCAGATGTTAAAGGAGATGATTTACCGCCTGACTGTTTTCCGGACGATTTTTCACCTGATTTTATAAATTTACCGCCTGGCTTTTGTTTAGATGATTTACCGTTTGATATTGATGATCTACCACCTGACTTTAGATTCGATGATTTACCGCCTGACTTTAAATTCGATGATTTACTGCCTGACTTCTGTTTAGAAGGTGTACCGCCTGACTCTGGATTCGATGATTTACTGCCGGACTTCTGTTTAGATGGTTTACCGCCTGACTTCGGATTTGATGATTTACTGCCTGACTTCTGTTTAGATGGTTTACCGCCTGACTTTGGTTTCGATGATTTACTGCCCGATTTCTGTTTAGATGGTTTACTGCCTGACTTTGGATTCGATGATTTTCTGCCTGACTTCTGTTTAGATGGTTTACCTCCTGACTTTGGATTCGTTGATTTTCTGCCAGACTTCTGTTTAGATGGTTTACCACGTGACTTCTGTTTAGATGGTTTACCTCCTGACTTTGGATTCGATGATTTCCTGCCGGACTTCTGTTTAGATGGTTTACCGCCTGACTTTGGATTTGATGGTTTCCTGCCGGACTTCTGTTTAGATGGTTTACCGCCTGACTTCTGTTTAGATGGTTTACCGCCTGACGTCTGTTTAGATGGTTTACCGCCCGACTTTGGATTCGATGATTTCCTGCCTGACTTCTGTTTAGATGGTTTACCGTGCGATTTGTTTTTGGATATTTCAGCGCCTTTTTGTTTTGATATTTCACGATAATTTTGTTGTGACTTTGGTTTTTTAAAAGGGGCTGGTGTGGTCTGTTGAATGTCGTTTGCAAGCTGACTAGTTTGAGTTGGCTTAGCAGCAGGTTGATTTGTTTGTGACACAGTAAAAATAGGTGGTGGAAGTAGAGTTGTCAATTTAATTTCCGGTTTTGTTGAGCTTTTAGTTGTTTTTATTACACTATTTGTTGAAAGTTGATTTTCTGATTTGTCGCCAGACTTTTGCTTCGACCTTTTTCCTTTTGGTCTTCGTTTATACCTCGGTGAGGAAGTATCTGTTTTATTTCTTACTGCTACGATTAATGGTACAGAAATCGGTTTATCTTCTGTTGCTGATCTTGTAAATCTGTTCTTATCACATTTCCCCATGCCATCATCATTATCTGTAAAATGTATTTCAATCACATTTCAGTAAAGGCTGTTGCATCATCATACATACTGTAGCAATTTAAGGCAATACCATGTTTTTGGCATCTAATAGTGCCTCTTACATGTATAAATGACACATTTTTTTTTATTTTCCTAGAATTAATGTAAGTATGAACAAAAGGCGAAGCGTAGAAATTGTATTCAGATGGTGACATTATACAAAATGTCATCGTTTCTGTTTTAACAACATAAATACTACAGTGCAATAACACAAATCAATAAAAAAATCACTTTTTGTACGACTGGCCATTATTACGTATATACATATTTTCTGCAATAATAGGCCTGCACAAGAATCGAATATGCCCTACCGATTTCGAACATTACTTAGTGTAGACACTCTGAATAATGCATAGTCTATTAAACTTAAAAATTAATTACCCTTTATCATTGTGGTGTTTATAGTGAAGATTCAAAAATTTTTGCGATTTTTTTATTATTGCGAAAAGTACGATGGAATAGGTTTCGCCAAAAAAAGATGCTCGCATAAATTGTGTGCAACATTTCATGAAATCGCAACTTTTGTACATAGTGCAAAATTTGTGAAAGTAAATAAAAGCACGCCAACATTTCTGAATTTACAGTTGATATAAGTCAGTAGTGAGATAAAAGTCTGAATAGTCGAAATTTGTAGTCAGTTTGATATGAGGAATTTTTTCTTTTAATAGTTAGTATATTTGGCAAAACAAGCATCGGAATCTTATAGGTTTCCTGAGAGACTACAAAATTCGTATTTTTATAAAAAAAAAATCTATTTGTGGAAATATATAGTAGATAAAGATACATCTACAAAATAAACAAAAAATGGAAACTTTTGTCTGTTTCTTAAATAAACGCAGGTGAAAAAAAAAACTGTCAATGTAGGTGTACATGAAGTTTGGGTACTCTTATGTTACATGCTTTTCTGAAATTGATATGTTGTTCTATTTCTGTCCGTGATTAGGGGATTGTTGTGTGCTCATAAAAATGATTAAACCAGCCACAGTCGTTATGTGTCTGTCACAAGCAAGAACATAGTACTCCAGCTGTTCCCCTTTGTTACCGTCTGTAATAGTATTCTTTCAATTTTCTGCTCATTTATATTGGTAACCTAACCATATGGGTACGGATTTTACTCATTATTGAAGGCCGTTCAGTGTCTTATAGTTGTGTACATCTTTGTCCTCTTCTATTTTGGTGGAAAGTTATATCATTGATAAAATTGAGAATGGAAACCAAACGGGTAATGCGTCAAAGAGACAACAACCAGACCAAAGATCAGAAAACAGCCCAAGGCCACCAACGGGTCTTCAACACAGCGCGAAAATCCCGCATCCGGAGGCGGGCTTCAGCTGGCCCCTAAACAATAAGGTATACTAGTTCAGCGAAAATGGACGTCACACTAAACTCCGAATAGACCACATCTCTTAATATATAGAAATAAGATGATGTGGTATGAGTGCCAACTCTCCATCCAAGTCACAATGTGTATAAAGTATAAACAATTATAGGTCGAAGTACGACCTTCAACACGGAGCCTTGGCTCACACCAAACAGCAAGCTATATAGGGCCCCAAAACAATAAAAATAGGAAAACCAACGGTCTAATCTATATAAAAAACTAGAATTAAACGAGAAACACTTATGAATCACATGAACAAACGACAACCACCGAACAAAAGGTTCCTGACCTAGGACATGTGCCAACACATGCAGCGGGTTTAAACGTTTTAACAGGCGCCAACCTTCATCCTAACCTGAAATAGTAGTGTAACATTATAACATAGAAAGACACACTATAAAATATCAATCGAAATGGCTTAACTCAATCAAAAAGACATATTAACAAAAACAAGTAAACATACACTGAACGAATAAATTTGATCTATGACACAATATAAACACAATATTAAATAAAAAAGATAACTATAACCTTGGACAAAATGTATGAGTTTTCGAAAGTATATCATAATGTTTGAAAAGTCTTTCAAACGGAAAAAGAAGCAATTCAGTATCTAAATACCAATTAAACCACTATCTACAAAATACAACCACAATATATAATCTACGGTACAATTAAAGAGATGTGACTGGCTGTTTTTGTTTGTCATGACAGTACAGAACAGAAGACAAAGTTAAAGCATACAATAGCCTCTAAGTTGCAGGAGTATAACAATAACAAAATATATTAATTATTATTTACCACAATCGTTGTCTTCATCATGTTCCTGTGATGAGATTACTGCATTGCATTGGTTTTTTGAACAGCAGTAGGTACAAGATCCTTCAAAATTCCCCTTGTCGTCCAAGTAACATTCATCTGCATTATTTTCTTCTCTGTTCATGCAAATCTGTCAATATTTTAATAAACTACGTGTATACAAACTATAAAAGAATATCATCGGATTGAAAATAACATTGATATTGTACTCATGTTCCCTTGTGCTGTTGGCAAGATAACATGAGTATATATTGTCCATTATCGATTGAAAGATGATCGAATAACGTGCAACGAATTGAAATTTTGACCATACTCACGTTGAACTGACTTCACAAATGAAACTAGAATATGTGTAAGTAGGGAACCGGAACCCGTTTTGCACTATTATAATTCAATGTTCAGTGAACCGTAAAATTTTGTAAAAAAAAATAATTTGGTATATATATTAAATAGTTAACTTCTTAATAATAAAAAATAAATACAAACGTTATGCGTACAGATTTTTATTTCCCGTCGATTAGGATGTAAGAAATAGTTCAAACATATTTATAATACTTGCATGCATGTGACTACATCTGGTTGTTGTTGATATTAATCCATTCTCTTGGAAGTTATATTGTGTCATGCAGTGTTCCTGAAATTTAGATACAGGTTAACAATAAATATAATCAACAGTAACACCCTTTATTTCATACTCTGGCGGATAAAAAAACAGATCTGCTTCTCAAACAAAGAAGAGCAGTATGATAACACAATGACCAACCGAAAACTTTAATCAGAATTTATTAAATATACAAAAACATTTAAGGAATGTCTGTAATATTTTTTCTGTCTATGAAGAAATAACATCAAAAATGTGGTGCACACTGAATAACTCGCGTAGCGGGTTATTTAAAAGTGTGCACCACATTTTTTATGTTATTTCTTCATAGACAGAAAAAATATTACAGTCATTCCTTATAATATAATTCTAATAAGGAGTAAATCATGATAAAAAACGTTGATGACGTCATGGTCACATGACGAAATTATGTCTATGAGCTGATAGACAAAACATTTTCAGCCAATCGGATGACGTGTTACATCCAAAATTAAATTATTAACAATTAATAGTCAAGAAGTCATAAGTTATGACTTCTATGACTCATAACTGAAACAATATACACTCTACAACTTCGATTTGAAACTCTCATAAAAAGAGGCGAAGGATACCAAAGGGACGTTCAAAGTCGAAAATAAACTGACAACGCCATGGCTAAAAATTAAAAAAGACAAACAGACCAACAACAGCAAACAAAACAGAAAACAGAAAACCAAAGACTGAGCAACACGAACCCCACCAAATACTGGGGGTGACCTCAGGTGCTCCGGAAGGGTAAGCAGATCCTGCTCCACATTTCGCACCCGTCGTGTTACACATGTCATAATATGACTATGCTCGCATCATCATATCAATTTATTAAACGCTTATCATTGATAGTACCAATTGTCAATGGACTGATATAATTTTTCAACCACTTAAGGAATATAATGTGTACCACATACAGTTAAAGGGGCACTAGCTACGAGATATATAAAAAATCTAAAATAGGATTTTTTCGTTCAATCATTAATGAAAGTGAAATAGTGAAATAATAATTCGCTTTTAGCAGCAAGTATGGTTCAATTTTGACAAAATAAGCTAAGAAACATTGAAGATTGATTATTCACTTGCAAGTGAATAATTCGACCTTCATTGAATCCGTATTCATGTGAACTTCAATTTAACTCCCTAGCTAGAGATGGATAAGGCATGAATCGTGCGTGATCAGTCATTTGAAGGAAAAGAATGTCAACATCAACATTGAAAGTGAAACAAAGGTAAATCATTTGATTGACTGATTCGATCGACAAAAATCATTCTTATACAGGTAAAAACGATGATTAACATATTTTTTTAATCTATAATTTGAAATTAAATAGACCTAGAAAAATCCAATTGCACGAGTTAGCTTAATTTTTTAATATCTATATTTATGTTTGTATACCTTATATGGCCATCGATGATTTTCGGAGGTCAACTCGATAGTTAATTAGATGGCGTCTAGACTAAAATACACAAGAAACGAAGCTACATATTATCGAGCCCATGCTCTGTAAATTGTTTATTTAAGACTTTTAATAATTTGGATAAATGAATTACATTGTTATTAATCAAATATGAGAATTTGAGTCAAATCGGTGAACATGAATTTGACAGCTAGTGCCCCTTTAACGTAAATAAAGGGATTTATCATCAATAAAATACATACTACTGTAACAAAAAAAGAAACCCATTAAACTTGTTTGTCGAGTTTGAATTATCTTTAAGTTTACATGATACAGGCGGTCAAAGAAACACCATGTCGGCCGAACGAAAATTATATCTACATGGTTAAGTGCCTTTCTTCCTTACCTCCACCAGACTCTCTTAAATTCAAAAACTGATGAAGTGAAAGATGCCGAGTATAAAGCGTCAAAAAACTTTCAAATGTCTCTGAGGGATGCCTTTCGGGTTAGTGTTATTGGATTTCTACTGTCCTATCATATGGATGTATACCAAACATCTGCTTTTAATCATTCATGAAATGAAAAAAATCAAAAATCAGATCTGATCCAAAGAGGGATTTTCAACCTTAGTTTTTGTGTAATTCACAGAATTTACCAGTTTATGAATTGTCAATATGTACGTAACGAATGAAGAATACCCTGAGAGAATCATCGACGTTCGGAAGGAAAAATGGCATACGTAGTCAATTAAGATATAAGTCAAACCCACCTTCCACGAGCAGGGTTCGATCTGAAAACCTCACTGTTGACAAGGAGGATGGCTGTAGATAAACTACTTTATCCATTCGTCCGGCGAGGATCCTCCTTATTTGAAAAAGGTAGCAAGTATTTTCTGGCAAAACTTTTGAAAAAAAAAAAGGAAAAAAAAATCATGTTTCCAGGAAAGATTTTTCTCTAGAATTTCTAACATAAAGTTTAAATCCAGCTTTTAAATATAACAGTAAATATTAGTATGAAAATGAATACTTCAACCCATGCTGAACGCAGCGTCATGATACTGGTGAATTGTAGGATACGTACATGTCCTGAATGACAACGATTAATAGTGGTACATGTTCTGCCGTACGGCAAATCATCACAGGAGTAACAGCTGAAATCGTTTGTCTGAGCAGATCTTTTTCGTTTCTCAAGTATTTTGGTATTGAATAGGAAACCGCCAAGTTTGCCTAAAAAAGTAAAACAAAAACAATCAAAAACCCAGTAACTAATGCTCACAAGAAAATAAAAAGCAGTTTAAACTGTTATTTCTCATATTAAAGACATTTGTACGGGCATGAACGAACGAACTGGAGTGTAGGTTCCTAATACAACTGTAGTTGAAAATATAATGTAATGACGAATTCAAAAACATCACTTCACTGCTACCATCTTTGTAATGACGGATGAGAAAAGATACCTCATTGCTGCCATGTTTGTACTCATACCACATCTTTTTATTTATATATAACGACAATATCATAGATCTGACATAGCGAGTATTTATTTTCCTTTGATAAATAAGGAAACAACAAAACAAAAATAAACATCACCTGAGATTGGAATACTGTCAGATGCTTGTTTAGTAGTTGGGGTCAGTTTGCTCTCATATGGTTGTTTCGTAGTTGGAGACATTTTGATGTTAGATGGTTGTTTCGTAGTTGGAGATATTTTGCTGTTAGATAGTTGTTTCGTAGTTGGAATCGGTTTGCTGTCAGATGGTTGTTTTGTAGTTAAAGACACTTTGGTATCAGATGGTTTTTTCATAGTTGGAGTCAGTTTGCTGTTAGATCGTTGTTTCGAAGTTGGAATCAGTTTAATGTCAGATAGTTGTTTCGTAGTTGGAAACACTTTGCTGTAAGATGGTTGTTTTGTAGTTGGAATCAGTTTAATGTTAGATGGCTGTTTCGTAGTTGGAAACACTTTGCTGTCAGATGGTTGTTTTGTAGTTGGAGACAATTTGCTATCAGATGGTTGTTTCGTTGTTGCAGCCATTTTAAACTTTCCACCTTTGTTGTTGCAAGCTGCACAGTTGCTGTCACCAAGGATACTGTCATTAAGGCTATTTTCATCTAGACTACTGTCAAGGCTGCTATCTTCAACGCTATTGCCATCTACTAGAACGTTTACATCAACGTTAATGAATGGTCCGTAATGCTGTTTACAACATGGTCGTCCATCATGAAAATGACATTGTGAACTTGATGAACCAGCACTGAAAGATGAACTGCCGCTTCTGCTTTTTGATATTGTTCTATGAGATGAAGGTTTTGGACGTGTAGTATTAGGTCGAGGTGATTTGGTTTGTGGTGCAATAGTTACATCTGGTTTAGGAAGTTCTGTAGTTGTTACAGAGAATTTTGTTGTAAGCTTTTTATTTGGCAATTCAGTGGTGATCAGTATGGTTGTTGGTGCTCGAGTAATTAATGTAGGAGGTTGAACGCTAGGTTGTATTGGTGGATGAACGGGTTGTATTGGTGGTTGAATGCTCGGTTGTATTGGTGGCAGAATGTCAGGTATTATTTTGGAATCATCCGTATTACCTGAAAATATTTATTTACATTTTTTAGATGTTTGAATTTCATTCATTTTGTTTTGACGGTTTCAAAATATATTCAAAAACATGTAATTACATTTATTTATTAAGTAAACATTCCATCTACAATTTCACATTTGAGAATAATTGATATATTAACTTTTCAGTTTAGGTGCAGAAGAAATGTCCAAATTCCTACATTGAAATAAAAAAATAAACAGTTCTGTGTCGAAGAAAAGTTTATATAAAATTCATTTATTATTTTTCAAAATTGTAATATTCAATAAATTGGTTAAGAATACATATACAAAAAAGCGATTGGCAAACGAAGCATTCCAAATCCTATGAAAACAAACACAACCATGGCAAATATGAAAAATGATGAAAATGCAAATGACAATAACAAACATCTCATTTAATCATTGAACAAGTCTCTTAAAAAATCCATTCTATGAGTTTTGTTTACATTACTCATAACTAGTTAATTAAGTTACTTTTCTCTAAAACCTGAATTAAATGTGGATATTATGTGTTTATTACATAGAAAATGTCCATATGATTTCATGGAGCTTGCATCTTTTATATCAGGTTGGAAGATAATACCTCAATTCGAATGTGAAAACTGCAGGAATAGTGAAAAACTGACATTAATTTATAAAGTCTATATATCTACACGTATTGTTAAAAAAGCACTAAGGTAGCACCCCACAGTTGGAAAATAAAATAAAAATTGACCCACAAAATGTTTCATCTTCTATTCCTGCCTTTCTATTAAATTAAGGAATTGTTTGTGTCATTCATGATCATATGCATATAATCAGTTTCTTCCATAGATTTAATTTTCAACAGTTAAAATGATGAAATATGATTTCTTATATTGTTATTAGCTATATAGGCCAAAAATAAAAGCATAATCATAACAGAGCTTAAGAGGAACAAAAAATAAAAAAAAAAATATTTTGATGGCCAGAGGTACAATATCTAAAACACTTATATAATTGGTCAAGTTATTTTAAACTATCACTTTAAAAAAGAAAATAAGATATCTAACATACTTTTAAGAGACAGATTGATAGTTTTCGTTTTCACTGTAACAGTTCCATCTGTGGCTTCACAAACATAGTCACCGATATCACTATTGGCTACTTTTTCTATGGTCAATGAAGGGACAGATACATTACCACCAGAGTATCTATCAGATAGTGTGATCGGCTGATTGTCTTTGTACCATGTTATTTGAGAAGGTTTTCCAACAATTTTTACTGTCAGTGTTACAGATTTAGCCTCCTGTGGTATGTATAAAGTATTTAGAGCTATCACTGACAGAAGGGCTACAAAATAAAGATAAGATATTGATATTGACTATGGAAATTATCGTGGTAAGTATCCACCATTCCATTTAAACTATTTACACTAATGTCATCTTCAGGGTTAAATATATTTATTTATATTATAAAATAATGAGATGTGGAATGCTTGCCAATGAGACAACAATCCACCAGAGACGAAATGACGTAGATGATAGCTGTACGGCCTTCAACATTATAAAATATAAAATAAGTCAATAGAGAAACCAACGTCCTGCTTTATGCACAAAACAACAAACAAAAAAAATAAATATGATATACCGTAAAAAACGATAACCACTGAATATGCTAGTATGTATACTTTGACTTATGAAATTCTTTTTATTTTTCAAAAATTTTGCACGTAACATACAATTAATCTATCAACCGGTTGTCAAAAGAGCACCACTGAAAAACCTCTAAAGCACTTAAAATAAATAAACTGTTGACAGAGACATATGTCTCGCCTTTTTGTGATTTTGATAGTAAAAAGCAAATGTTGAAATAAAATAGCAATACTTTAACATGTAAGTTATGCAAAATACTCAAAGTCAATTACCCATGACTAAATGTACAGGGCAAAATAATTTCCACGGAAATGAGATGTACCAATGCTAATACAACTACATACAAAATATCATTGACCTACCAGTAGTGGTGTCCGATAAACTGACATAACCAAAAACTTATACATGTAAACTAAGCAAAAGTTTCAAATTCAATGGACCATGATTGAGGGAACAGGGCCCCATAATCTCCATGGAAATGAGATTTTCCAATGCTAATACAACTGCATACCAAATATCATTGACCTACCACTAGTGGTTTCTCATAAACCGACCTAATCACAAACTAATACATGTAAACTAAGCAAAAATTTCAAAGTCAATAGACCATGACTGAAGGAACGGATCCAAATAATCGACATGGAAATGAGATGTGCCAATACTAATACAAATGCACACCAAATATCATTGACCTAGCACTTGTGGTTCCACATAAACTGACTCCGTCAAGGTGAGACAAAAATTATTCGGACTTTACATATACTGTGGTCATAAAATTCAAAGCATGTCCATTAAACTTTTTTGAACTATCTTGGAAAAATAAAGTTTCAATTGAAATTACTGTATTTAATCATGGAAATATTGCCTTTTCCTCCTGTAAGTCCTTATTCAACATGTTCCCGACTCAATATTGAATGTAACCGTATTAATTGAAATATCTATGTCTGAAATAACCAATGACATATGGCCAATTGGGTATTCTAATATAACGTTTTCCCTTTACCTTGGAAACAAAGTCGTGTTCTACTTGCAATAGAACATGGGCTGCACGTGATTGACGTCACAATTGAAATTGAAAAGTCAGTTGAACAACGCCGGAGAACAAAATGGACATTTGTGATGGTGTATCTCGCAAGGAAATTAAATAAATTCATTCTTAAAGTAAGTTTACATGTATCTAGATAGATATAAGAAGATATGGTATGAGTGCCAATGAGACAACTCTCCATCCAAGTCAAAATTTATAAAAGTAAACCATTATAGGTCAAAGTACGGTCTTCAACACGGAGCCTTGGCTCACACCGAACAGTAAGCTATAAAGGGCCCTAAAAATTACTAGTGTAAAACCATTCAAACAGGAAAACCAACGGTCTAATCTATATAAAAAACAAGAAACGAGAAACACTTATGAACCACATCAACAAACGACAACTACTGAACATCAGATTCCTGACTTAGGACAGGTGCAAACAAATGCAGCGGGACGACAATCTGTTCATTTTTTATCGTGAAACGGTTGATTTTCTATATCGTTTTGGGTTCGTAAAATCAAAATGGCTGCCTTTTGGACGTTTATTATAGGCCCGCTTCGAAGTACAAAAAGTTCAAAATTTTCCATTAGAGTCGAAATAATTCTATCATGCCGCGCTCTATGCTCATTTTAACATGGGTAGGCATTATATTAACCAACATTTTACAACTCGCTGTCGGTCGGTATAAAGATATTGACAAATATAATGCTTACCCATGTTAAAATGAGCATAGAGCATGGCTTGCTAGAATTATTTCTTAATAAAAAATTCGTAAGGGTTCCGCGGAACCCAGTGTCTCGCCTACTTTTTCTGTTAATCGCAGGCTCAACAAAAATGAGGGAAGTAAATCAATAAAAATATTCCTCTTGATACTATCGTTTGATCGTAAGAAGCTTCTGTCCAAGTTTGGTAAAAATCCAGGATAGTTTATGAATCTAATAAATGTTTAAAAACTTTTAACTGCAGACTGAATGTAATGTTAACTGGAAGAAAACAAAATTTCCTTCTAGATACTAGCATTTGATCATAAACAAGCTTATGTCCAAGTTTGGTACAAATCCAAAATAGTATAATAAAGTTATTAAAATTTCAAAACCTTTAACCACAGAGTGAACGTATTGTTTCCTGGCAGAAAATCTAAGTCCATTTAAAAGTAAAATACGGAAAAAATGGATTTATTTTTTTACAAAATTTCCTTCTAGATACTAGCTTTTGATCATAAACAGGCTTCTATCCAAGTTTGGTACGAATCCAAAATAGTATAAGAAAGTAATTAAAATTTTAAAAACTTTAACCACAGAGTGAATGTGTTGTTTCCTAGCAGAAAATCTGCCATTTAAAAGTAAAATAAGGAAAAAATGGATTTAAACAAGCTTCTGTCCAAGTTTGGTAGAAATCCAGGATAGTTTAAGAAAGTTATTAAAATTTCAAAAACTTTAACCACAGAGTGAATATTTGTGGACGCCGCCGCCGCCGCCGACGACGACGACGACGCAGACGGAATGTAGGATCGCTATGTCTCGCTTTTTCGACTAAAGTCGAAGGCTCGACAAAAATGATCTATTTAACATAACTTATAAATATATTGAAAATGGAAAATTGACCATTATTGTTCTAAAATTGCTATATTGCATGTATATAGCATTTCATTCTCGTTGGCTCTTTCAGTTATCTGGTAGTCCGTAAATATTTTATATTTATACACAGCTGATATGTTACAGTGCATTTTACATATTTTTCTTACCCTCAAATGTTATCAATTGTACAAAGTGTTCAGTCTATTTTCTGGCTTCGATAAACACTTTAAGTGCTCAAATACAACACGAACAATAGACAAAAGAGAAGTTCCTTTTCACTCAGAAAAAAAGAATACTAATTAATCGTAATAGGTTTATCTATGCGACAATAATCAAAGTATTGTTTTTAATATATATATATATTCAAAAATAAATAGATTTTATACAGTTAAATGGTTCAAAAAGGGTTCGGCTCTGATAAGCAATGCTTGCAAAATATCATTTTCATTTGTACTTTGTAAATAACTACTGTTGTTTGCAATGTAACCATTTGATTTCTATTCCTCTCATCCCGTTTATGGTTTCACCTATCATATATACGACGGGTGCCACATGTGGAGCAGGATCTGTTCACCCTTCCGGAGCACCTGAGATTACCCCCAGTTTTTGGTGGGGTTCGTGTTGCTTAGTCTTTAGTTTTCTATATTGTGTCTTGTGTACTATTATTTGTCTGTTTGTCTTTCTATTTTTTAGCCATGGCGTTGTCAGTTTATTTTCGATCTATGAGTTTGACTGTCCCTCTGGTATCTTTCGCCCCTCTTTTATCTTATAAGCAATGCTTGCAAAATATCATTTTCATTTGTACTTTGTAGATAACTACTGTTGTTTGCAATGTAACCATTTGATTTCTATTCCTCTCATCCTGTTTAAGCTTCCACCTATCATATATTATTGTTTATCTAAATTAATTTGTTAGGGTCTCACTAGCCCAGAACTTGCAGTAGTCGGCACTATTTTGACAATTAATATAATTCAGTCTTTTTTGTAAATCTAATGTTAAGAAACTCTTTATGCCAGATCTGGAATAATTTTTGTAATATTTAGTTTTCAATGCTCTTCAATTTCCTAATTGGTTTGGTCTTCAAACTTGATTTTGATTTGAGCGACACTGATGAGTCCTGTATTGACCAACCTCCTGTTTGGCTTTTAAAATCACAATCCTGGTATATTTGATGAGTTTGTATCGTGTCTTTCCCAAACGGGGAATTTTATTTTCATAATAAGATTGAAAAGTTTGTATTTGCTTTACGTCTAGCAATCAATATTAAATGCATGATGTGGACAAATGAGATGAGGAAATGTACTCGTTTGTCATGGAAAATACAAACTACATTTACTTTAAACGGTTTGCATAGCCATTCGGTCCACGTCATGAAATTTGGTTAGGTCAACCAAATTAATTCAGAGAAAAGAAATGGCTAAAGGTTCTAAAAAAGATTTAGATAGCCAACTCACATAATGGATTAGGAGACAACTGGATTATGCTGGTTCGAGCAGTATCCTTTCCATTTGTTATTTCGCACACATATTCACCACCATCAATAAGTTTGACGTGTGTTATGGTCAGCGCAGGAGCAGACACAATTCCATCGGAATATCTATTCGATGTTGTTATTAGTTGATTGTCCTTATACCAGCTTATCTGAGAAGGTGTGCCTACGATATTCACTTGCAATGTTACAGATTCTGTCTCCATTGGGTTATAAAATGTCTTTCTAGCAATAACTGACAACATTGCTACAAAAAAATTATATACAATATTTAAGACAAATCATGTATTTATCTATCGCGCATTATAATTGCAAAGAAGGATGATTTAGGATTTACCAATTCTTTTCAAAGGATAAAGTTGTTACAGAAAAACAAACAATTTCGGTCTACATGTTCAGTGTTCAATAATATAATACTTTCACTAAAGTTAAAGGCTCAAAGTAGGCTCTATCGTTCATCATGTTCAGTGTTCAGTAATATAATATTATCACTATAGTTAAAGGCTTAAAGTAGACACTATCGATCATCATGTTCATCTGGCAAACAAATGTATACCAAGAGTGACAGCCATTTTCGAAAAAAAGTAAAATTGTTGCCTGGTTTGATCCAACTCTACTAGGAGGATGTTTTAAAAATGGTCATTAGATAGAATATAATAAAATGTGGTATGATTGGCAATGAACCAATATCAATTAGGATCAAAGAACAAATATATTAACAAATATATTTACAAATGTAAGCCATCGTTCTATCTTCCAAGAATTTCAAATGAATAAGTTATAAAAGGACAACAGGTGATAGAACATGTACAATGTGAGTGAGACAATTAAAAAGAGAAAACCAACGACTTATCATACTATATTTATAAACTATAAACAAAACACAATGATTGCAGAGAGCAACCAACAATGACCACTGTTCAATAAATATAGAAAATCTTAGATTAAGACAAATCCTTTAAGGATCAACTAGGAGTCAATAATTGCCCTTTCTGTGCTCCTTTTTACCCTTTTAGAACATCCTTCTTTTATTCCTTACCTATGCATTTTTTTTAAGGAAAACATATACTTTTTATAGCAAACAAAAGATAAAAAAAAACACTTTTACTCCTTTCTTTGCATGCTATAACTTTTTAGGTGAAAACCAATACATAAACCTGACACCCTATGTTTTAATGTAAGAGAAAAACCATGTTTTTATGGATGAAATCTCTAGATATGATTAACAAGCTTAATGCGTAAGAAATCTTTAGAGATAATTTGGCAACTTTCGGTCTATTAGTTTCATGAAAATTTAAAAACAGAATCATCGCTGAAACTTGATGCTAAAGATCAAAAGAAGAGAGAGTGACGACGGTCGTTGGACGTTAAGGGTTGGCAAAGCACATCTAGTTCTGGTGAGGCCAATGTGAGGAGGAAGTGTGGAACAGTATTTCTGTAACAAATGAATAGATACATGCACGCGCATATTCACGGTATGCTCTTATTTGCTACGAAATGAAAACCCTTTTGCATATTAATAACATATACTTCTATCTTAGCAATTGAAGATAATTTTGATTCACTATATAACGTTATCGTAACGATCATGAAGTACAATTCGCATAGATTACTATTAAAATGAGCTTTACTTTGCAAAACGGAAGAAATTGGCATAGCTTTACTCGGGCTTTCTTTGAAAGGAATAAAATAAAATGTTACTTAGTCCCAAGAGAGAAAAACCTGACTTACAGGAAAGCTGTCAATAAGGACCTTATTAACGCACCTACAATCGAACAGGTTTGAACTTGCAACCTCATCGTTCACAAACTAATAATAATTGTTAGCTGAATAAGACAACTCGGCTCCTATGGTTTTAATGACAAAGACATAAAATTTAATGTCATCTTAAACGCTTTCAGTGGGGAGGCTAACTAAAAATGAAAAACATGATGAATAACTCACACGCTGGAGACAACTGAATTGTACCACTTCGAGCTGTATCCTTTCCATTTGTTACTTCGCACACATATTCACCACCATCACTGAGATGAACGTTTGTTATAATCAAAGCAGGAGATGCCACATTGCCACCAGAATATCTATTCATTATTGTAATTAGTCGATTGTTCTTAAACCATCTGACCTGAGACGGTTTGCCCTCGACATTCACTTTTAATGTTATTGATTCTGTCTCCCTTGGATTATAATATATTTTTTCAGCAATAACTGAAATCATGGCTAAAAAATGCAAGAATACAATTAAAGACGTATTATTCATTCATCTTTTGCTCATACATATAACAAAAGGCTCTACAGAAGCTGTGTCGCTCACCTAGGTCTATGTGCATCTTCATTAATGGATACTCTCCATCTTTGTGGACTAGAATAGAATTCATAACAAAATTCACTTCTTTGTTGACTTAGTCTTGCTGATTATTTTTGCTTATTCAAGATTCTATCTATCTGATATAGTTTTTCAGATAGTAGGCAACAACGAAAAATAAATAAAAAAAAAAATCGTTATTAAAGAGAACAGCACCAACTAGAGGCTCTCAAGAGCCTGTGTCGCTCACCTGTATCTACTGTGGTTTTGGAAATCATGTAAAATAAGGTTAAAATCATTAATAAATAAATAGTATTAGATACCTCAATAATGATTGAGACCAAGTTTGGTTCAATTTGGCCCAGTGGTTAAATTTAAAGCAGGTCATCCCATTGTAGTCTTACAATAGTTACTGAAGACCCCTAATCATTATTTAAATTAGTTTTCAAGTTGTGACCATTTAAAATTGTTTTTTTACAATTTTCCCATAGACTTTTATAGTAAACCCCTATGTTCTATTTTTAGCCGTGGCGACTATCTTGGTTAATGGGCGGGGACATCAGATACATTTTTAAAACTAAATACCGTAAGGATGATTGAGGCCAAGTTTGGTTGAATTTGTCCTAGTTGTTTCAGAAGAGACGATTTTTGTAAAAGATTACTAAAATTGACGAAAAATTGTGAAAATTTTACTTTAAAGGTTTATAACTCCTTATGGGGTCAATTGACAATTTTGATCATTTGACTTATTTGTAGATCTTACTTTACTGAACAATATTACTGTTTACAGTTTATCTCTATCTATTATAATATTCAAGATACTAAACAAAAACTGCAAAATTTCCTTAAAATTACCAATTCAGGGGCAACAACCCAACAACGGGTTGTCTGATCCGTCTGAAAATTTCAGGGCAGATAGATCTTGAGCTGATAAACATTTTAAATTCTTTCAGATTTCCCTTAAATGCTTTAGTTTTAGAGATATAAGCAAAAAACTGCATTTTACCCCTATGTTCTATTTTTAGCCATGGCGGCCATCTTGGTTGATAAGCGAGGTCATCGGATAAATTTTAAAAACTAATTACCCTAAGGATGACTTAGGCCAAGTTTGGTTTTTTTTGGCCCAGTAGTTTCAGAGGAGAAGATTTTTCTAACCGCTAACGGACGATGACGACGACGAATGACGACGACAACGAACGACGGACGCCAAGTGATGAGAAAAGCTCACTAGGCCCTTTTGGGCCAGGTGAGCTAATAAGGGGTCATCAGATGATTTAAACTATGTTGAATTATTTGTAGATCTTGTCTTGCTGATCATTTTTGCTTACTTATTTACGTTTCTATCTATCTATTATAGTTTTTCAGATATTAGGCAAAAACAAAAAAATAGTGTTTTGCAATATAAAGTTTCCCTCTATCTATTATACTTTTCAATATAAAAGGCAAAAACAATTGAAAGTATGTAAAATTAGTAATTTAAGGGCAATAACTCCTTTAAAAAGTCGCTAACAGTTTCAAATAAATAGACAATAGGTAGATCTTATCATTCCAATCATTTTTTACCTTGTTAGATTTTCCCTATTTATAGTCATGGTTTTCAAGGTAATCGACAAAACTTGCATTTTACCCCTATGTTCTATTTTTAGCAATGTCGGCCATGTTGGTTGGAAGACTTGATCATCGAACATATTTAAAAAAACTAATTACCCCAATAATGAGTTTGGCCAAGTTTGGTTAAATTTGTCCCATTAGTTTCAAAGGAGAAGATTTTTGTAAAAGTTAACGACGTCGACGGACGATGACGACGACGACGAAGGACAACGACGGACGACGACGAAGGACGACGACGACGGACGCCAAATGATCAGATAAGCTCACTTGGCCCTTCAGACAGGTGAGCTAATGAAAATGAATTAATTGCATCAAAGGATAAAGATAAACCATTTCTCAACAGCATTGTGCAAATTTTAAATAGTGTGAATTCGAATGGCGGATGATGTATGCATAGCAGGAGGCGCTTACCCTGTCCCGTTTCTTTAGGAGATCTTGCAATTCCTTCGGTTTCTTCTTTCGATTTGTCTCTTCCTACTCCAAGATTTGAACGTCGGTAAACTTCTGTCGCCTTTATTTATAATCAGAAACATAGTTTCCAAATTTTGTCGTTATAAATGTTCCCAGAGATATTTTGCTGTTCGGAAGACACAATATAAAGTCATATGATGCATGATCTGTGACAATTTAGCATTTTTCGTTTAGTGGGTCGTAAGATCATGCATATACTGCCTCCAGTTTCATTCATTTGTATTTTGTTAGCATTTGAAAAAATACAATGTTTAATTAAGATAAGAAATATTTAATCAAATAATGGCGATAGTCCTGCATGAAAAGGAAAAGAACTGACGTATTTTCCACAGGACGAAAGGGACCATTCGGTTATTTTAAAAGTTAAAAAAAAGTATTTGTAAAATTGAGAATGGAAATTGGGAATATGTCAAAGAGACAACAACCCGACCAAAGAGCAGACAACAGCCGAAGGCCACCAATGGGTCTTCAACGCAGCCAGAAAATCCCGCACCCGGAGGTGGTCCTCAGCTGGCCCCTAAATAAAATTGTGTACTTGTTCAGTGAAAATGGACGTCACACTTAACTCCAAAACATATAAATGAACTAAAATTAAAAAAACATACAAGACTAACAAAGGCCAGAGGCTCCTGACATGGGACAGGCTCAAATATGCGGCGGGGTTTAACATGTTTTGTGAGATCTCAACCCTCCCCCTATACCTCTAGCCAATGTAGAATAAAGAAACACATAGCAATACGCACAGTAAAACTCAGTTTAAAAGAAGTCCGAGTCCGATGTCAGAATAGGTAACAAAAGAAACTAAGCAAAATGACAATGATACATAAATGAACAAAGGACTACTAGCAGTTACTGACATGCCAGCTCCAGACCTAAATTAAACTGATTGAAAGCTTATGTCGTCATCATATGAAAATCAAGTACAATCCCTCCTGTTAGGGGTTTAGTATCATACCATCATAAAATATATGAGAAGAACATAACCCGTATCATGCCAACAACTGGTTTTAGAATAAATGTGTTTATTTCCGATGCAAAGACCCTATGAGTGAATCAATATTTATACCAAAATATGCAATCTTTAATGACTTGACAACAGTATCGTAACTATATCCTTTCCGAATAAGTCTGTTTAAAGGTGTATGTCATTATATTGTGATTCAGTTATGAGATTTTTTAAGTAATGCAGTAAACAGGTTATTCAGATTGCAACAGCAAAAGATGTGAGGTAATGTAAACACTCCTAGATATTGTCTGGAGATTTTATAAAAAAAATAGAAAGTAAGATAGAATAACTCACAAATTGGAGACAACTGGATTGTACTGCTTTGAACTATATCTTTTCCATTCGTTACTTCGCACACGTATTCACCACCATCACTGAGATGAACGTTTGTAATTGTCAAAGCTGGAACTAACACAGTGCCACCGGAATATCTGTTCAGTATTGTAATTAGTTGATTGTTTTTATACCATCTGATCTGAGAAGGTATTCCTACGACATTCACGTTCAATGTTACTGATTCTGTCTCTTTTGGATTATAAAATATCTTTCCAGCTATAACTGAAAGGTTTGCTGAAAAAATACGACCAACGATTTATTGTTACATCTTTCTCACACAAAAATTAATTCGATGCTTGAAAGGGGGATTGTTCGTTAACTAATCTATAACGGGTTTTACAGAACTAAAGTTTCTGCAATAGTAAATTTGTACAATGTTTAATCAAGATATTTAGCTTAGAAAAGAGAACCGAAAAACAGACTCGCGTAGATAACTTTGGTTAGTCGTTGTATATAATTAAGTACAAATAATTAACACAATTCTATACTAATATTCTTGTAATGGTTAGAAAATGCATGAAATAACACTTTTACAAACTTAATCCCAATTTTATATTCTATTTTTAGAAATTTACCTAGGACGTCACTTTTTGTGGCGTTGATACATTCGTGTGAGGCACAGTTCATAATTCTATTGTGGTGTACATGAGAGGTGTCCGTTGTTGTTCTGTGGTTTACATGTTGTAGTGTACTATTGTGTTGTTTATTTGTGTAATTCTCTGTCCTGGTGTTCTGACGTTTGTTTGTGCTGTATTTATTTTTCATTATTTTGGCGGTATTTTTGACGTTGCCGTATGGACGGGGGTTTGGCTGGCCATGAGGCCGGGTTCGGCCCGCCATTTTTTCTTAGGATGTCCTGTGCCAAGTCGGGAATGTGGCGGTTGTTATCGGATGGTCCGTTTCTATGTGTGTTGGCGTTTGTTTTTGTTGCAGTTTGGTGTTTCTGTTGTTCCATTGTTTTCCTCTTGTAGTTGGTGTGTTTCTCTCGGTTTTGGTTTGTGACCCAGATTTGTTTCAGTTAAATCGATTTGTGACTGTTGAACAGCGGTTTACTACTGTTGCCTTTAGTTATCAAGAAATAATTCCTTCAAGACATGTTCTGTTCTCATTTTAATATGGGTAGGCATTATATTTGTCGATATTTCACACCGAGCGTAAGTGAGGTGTAAAATATGGGCAAATATAATACCTACCTATGTTAAAATGAGCATAGAGCATGATATGAAGGAACTATTTCCATTCTAATAGGACAAATACGGTATTTTAAAGATCGAAGCGTAGGATAAAAACTTAGAAATGTTTGGCTGTTCCCGTTTCCACCCCGTGAAGTATGTGCATTACACTTTCATACTTAATAAGTTTAAAACTAAGAGCAGAGTAAATATCTGTTGTTTGAATAGCAATATATAATAAAAATTTATGTAAGCAGCTAAAATGTATATAAATTATTAAGATAACAATAAAAAAACAGTAGGCTTGCGAGCA